GTGCTGCCGCTTGCCCCGGCCTGCCGCCCTCCCCGCCGCGCAGCCCCGTGCTCACCTGTTGCTACTCGTCCCCAGCCAGGCTCTGCGCAGTCGGCGTTGGTGCCAGCGCCTAATCCCCGCGCTGCAGCGCGGCGGGCGGGGGGGCTGCTGAAAGCCGCTTGGCTGGCACAGGTTTGTCTGCCCGTGAGTGCGGGGTAGGGTCTTCTCAGACCCAGCCCGAGCTCCAGCGCAGTGCAGCTGGAGTAGAGAGGAGCGGGCTTCTCTGGGTGGGTGGTTACGGCATGGCCTTGCAAGGCTGCTCCTTGTGCCTTTTGTGTTTGGAAAGTTTTCCAGGAAAGGAGCGAGGGTCAGTTAAAACGCCATAGCTAAGCTGCTGCGCAAGACAAATCATCGGTTGAAGGGTTTTTAAATACAAGGCTGTGGTTCTTTGTCACCTGATTGTGCTAAAGCTCAATATAAATAACTGTTTCATAGAAGGCATTCTTGGCTTTCAAGAGGCTGCCTTTAAAAAGGGTGCTGTGTCCCAGAGCAGGGCTGGTGCTGCAGCTGTGCAGGGACTGGGGACCTCTGCTGTAGTTTGGAAAAGAGAAAGCAACATACTGCTTCAAAGTCTCAATGTTGTCTTCAACTCTCGCTCTGGAAATAGGCACGTGCAAAGTTCTGTTAAAAGAGCTAAACTCCATTTCCGTCCTCTGCAGGTGGCAGCCTGGTGTTCCCATTCTCTTTAGTCAAACGAACTCCAGCAAAGAGAAGGGGACATGTGAGAGCTGGCTTGCGAAATAGTCCCTCAGGCTGTCCTGATATATCGCGGTGGATGCCACCATGACTGGAGTCTAAAGAGTGTGATCTATTGCACTCGCTGCAGACTAGAATTACACTTAACACCACACTCTTGTTTGCAGTGTACCTTGCTGTTTGCAATATTGGTTAGCAGTTTGTCCATGCTGCAGTTCTGTGGCAGCTTGAGCCAGTGCGGTTTGGGGCTTCCATGACTCCAGCCACACGTTCCTCTGCCTGTGTGACCGAGCAGTAAGTCAGCACAGAGAGTTAATTTTGGGGGGGAAAAAAAAAAAAAAGATAGCTTTTTCTGGTAGGTTAGCTTTCAGCTGTCTCAGCTCTCTGAAGTGGCACACCATGTGGTTGCATGAGTGCGAATGTTTGCTTGAGAGATGGTAGGAACGTGGCAAGAGGGACACAGTTGTCACAGCTTACACTGGCACAGGCTGATACAAAACTTTTCACCTTTCCCATTTATCTGGCTCACTGACAGTTCCCAGAGAGTGCACGTAGTTTGACTAAAATTGACTTCTTCCCCACCCACCCCACCCCCCCTTGTGCAGGTCGAATCCTCCTTATTAAGTTCTGACTTAGAAAATACACCCAAGCACTGTCCCTTCTCTTCAGAAGATTTGGTGGTCTCAGTGGAAGATAGTTCTTGCTTCCTCAGGCTAGGCGTGCTGTCCTGGTCCTCCTGCTGCACATTATCTTGGCAGACGGTTTATGGAACTGGTGCATTTTCTCTTGAGGATGCGTCTGTATCTGTTTGGCAGTAGTGCCTGAGACTAAAGTTCAGTGTGGCTTCTGAAATGCATCCCTAGATATCGTGGGGAAGGTAGACTATAGTGAAGTGTCCTGCCGGACTGGATGCTGGAATTAGGTAGACTTCTGGCTTGATTCAGTATGGCTGTTCTTTTGTTATATTCATTCATGTGTAACGGGACTGTCAGTCTTTGGTTTTACTGTGTTTTAATCACGTATCACTTTTGGGAAACATACAGTTGGATTTAACTTGCAGAAAGGCAGAGATGAGAATTTGTGCACATATGAGGGTTGAGGTCCCTGCTCAGACACTGTTGCTGTTCTGTGATGACTTTTCAGTGTGAAATTTGTTTGTAGTTTTTCAGCCTGGGAATGGGCTAACTCAGGCTGGCTTTAGTAGGGGAAGAGAATAGAAACTTCTTGCCAGGAAAGATGAGGGAGGGCAGAACGACAGCAGCTGTGGTGGGAATCAGCCTGCCTTATGATTAGGGCAGTTTAAAATCCTTGAATTCAACCAGCAAACAGAAAACCATGATAGAAATACAGTTGAAACTGTTTAAATGCCAGGGGAAATTCTCATAAAAACTTGTTTTCATTTTTAACAAATATTGTCAAAGTTTGGGTTGGTATGTAGGGGGTATGCGGTTAATCTTACGTGCCCAGGAGAGGCAAAGGGGGCTGTGGTATATCCTCTCTGCTCCATTTTCTTCCCTGCTCTCTCTCTCAAATCCTGTTGACAGGGCTTGGCAGGATGTGTGCCCCATCACATGTGACCACAGAGCTCTGACTTCTAGTCTTGCTTTCTGTTAACACAGAGTTGTATAGATTTGCAAGAGGTTTTGCTTGTTTTGCTTACTTTAGTCTATTTGCATCAAGGTGCATTAGATGAAGGTTAGACATTTACAGTTTTAAAGATGTGGAATCAATCAAATCAGTTCAATTTGATTTTGTAGACTTAGAGTAAATTTAATAGGTGCATGTTTTATATTTAAGACAAACTGAATAAACAAAAGATGCCTCTTCAGTTGAGGAATGGACCTGCCTGGTTTTTTGTTTTCACTGTTCCTTGTTATTTTTAGAGCTGTGAAGCTCTACTTGCATCTTTTTTTTTAATTTGTAAAGTAAAAGAAAAACTTCTTGAGTTGTCTTAGCTTTACTGATTTCAGTTTTGAACTGAATGAGTTTGGGTGAAGGAAATTAATGTGGAGCTGCTGCTAAATGTTGATACAGCATTTTGATGCCTGTTAAGATAATACTACAGCTCCTAGAGTTCTGGTATTTCTGTGTTGTTTGGGCAGAGCCATACTGATAATATGTCCTATTTGTATGTAGTGTAGTTCTAATAGAGAATTTTAAATGGGAAATTAAAATAAATGTGTCTTGAAAGACTTTTTTTTTTAATCTACTCTAGTTAATATAAACCCCATAAATTCATGGTTGCTTCATAATTACTTTACAGCTGTCCTACTCCACTATACAATTGGGGGAAATACAGCTGTTACAGACTGCCAGGGTGTAACCTATGTGAAATCCGGAAGAATCTGTGTTTTCGAGGAAGGTGGTGTTTGCTGTTCTTGAACCGCTTCAAGCGCTTTGTAAAGGACAGATTTGCTGGGTGTGCAGTCTGTCCTTTCTCTGCAGTAATTCAGCTGAAGTTAAGAATTAACCAGCCTGAAAGGCAGAAGTGTCCTTGCAGGGGTGTGTCGCAGGGCTTTGTAATCTTCCTCTCAGTGCTCTGCAAGCTGCTCTGTGGATAAGAGGATAGTTCCTTCTGGCTTTGAGATTACTTGGGGGAGAAGGTGTTGAGGGTTTTGAATAAAGTAGAAGTGCATAAACCCCGCTGAAGCAGTTTGCACTAGTTGTTGCATTTCTCACATCCATGAGTATGAGCAAGTTTGACACAGTGAGGAGCAACGTTAAAGACTAGTCTTTCTCAGTGAAACATTCTGTGTATTCTCCCATAGCTGTTGTTTTTCCCTTTCTAGGAATAGAATGAGCTTTAAAACCATGCTTTTCACCCTCCAAAGACACTTCACTGAAGCAAAAATCTGGCATTTCCTATATGTGCAATGTAAAGGAAAGGACAAATGATTCTGCAGTATTGCATTAGTTACAGGAGGCTGAAGTCACACCTCTGCATTCTGGTACTTTGCATTCACTTTGATTCAAATGTGTACATGTATATACACATACATATGTGCAACAACTCAAATAGCTGTATTACAAATTAAAAATTACCAAGCATTCTGCTTGTCTGAAACAGAAGGTGTCATCCACCTGGAAACTCAGCTAGCTCTTAATCTTTATTACAGTGGGCAGCACTTTACTTTCAACCCTTCCGTTTCATGCCTGTGTTATATGCATATTGCCCGTAGTTGATGTTAACTATTGACCAGATGGATCAGGAGACCTGGCTGAGGGCTCTAAGGTGCTTCCTTGCATGTACCCTGCAATTCAGTTTATGATGATTGAGTGACTTCACTGGCTTCCAGTGCCATAGTGCTGGCTCTGAAGGTCCCTGGCCTCTCCCAGAGCTGAGGATGTCTGACCTCCTGGCACAGCATGCACAGAGCTCCCTCAGGTTGGAGCAGCTGCTCATCCTGTGGCCCTCTGAAGCTCTTCCATGAAAGGCCAGCAGACAAAAGCAACCCTGTCCATCTTCTGGACTATTTCTGCTGTGCTGCAGCTGATAAGTTCTGCCAGGTTATCCTTACGCCTTGCAAATAAATTCCAGTTCAGTATACAAAATTATGTGAACGCTTGTTTTGGTAAAGGTGGAAAGTTTGTCGTTTGTTGGCGTGCTGACCAATTGTTCAGCCAGCTTTTGGGTTTTTTCTGTAGTCAGATCTACAAAAAAGTAATGGTCGGTTCCTAAAATAGTCACATTATCTGTTTGCTTATATCCATCTGGACTGTACTGGAGTGTTCCTGTATCCTTGAAGACTTTTTGGCTCAGACTTGTCAGAATCGTAGCTTCTTAACATGGACAGGTAAGGGCCCAAATCGCTGTCAGGAGAGCTTTCCTTAATTTCATAAAGAAACCCTTTATCTGGAAAGGAACATCTGGTGGGAACGCTTTACACAGGTTTGCTTTTGACTTTTGGTAATGGTAACTTCAAGATGATGGTTTGAGAAGACATTAAAAATATTTCCCTGTCTTTGCTCACTGAGGCATAACTGACTTGATGCCATAAAGCAAAAGGAAACATAAAACTTAAACTCAGCATCTTAGCTCTGAGCAAAGTATAATTCTGCCCAACCTTCAGCCTGGTGCAAGTTTGTGCATAGGGGAGGCTCAGTCTAGAGTCTGAGTCTCTCTCTGCTGCACAGAGCCATCGACCTCAGTCTGTGAAGAATCATAGAATCATAGAGTAGTTTGGGTTGGAAGGGACCTCTAAAGGTCATCTAGTCCAACCCCCCTGCTGTGGGCAGGGACATCTTCCACTAGATCAGGTTGCTCAGAGCCCCGTCCAACCTGACCTGGAATGTTTCCAGGGATGGGGCATCCACCACCTCTCTGGGCAACCTGTGCCAGTGTTTCACCACCCTCAGC